GCTGGAATCGCTATTGCTCGAATCCCCATAAAAAAAGAAGAAAAACACACATGAACAAATGTGATGCTGTATCTGTCGTGAGGGACACCTCAAGGATGAGCAATTGCAAGAAAGGGACGGCACATTTTTGGAAGGCCTGACTGCCGGGAGCCAGTCAATTGCCAGAAATTGGACACACGATACATATGAGAGAGGGACAAAAAGTCTGCGTTTGGCTTGAAGAGCGCGAGCCCGGGGAAGTTGCCAGGCTTGACTACGAGGGGCGCGCGCACAGAAAGCTTCAGGTTTTTGTTAGCTCCCTCGCCTGAACAGCTAAAACAACTCGAGGTCTATGCAAAAAGTGAAGGACCTAATGTCAGTAACAGAACTTCCTATTGAAAGTAGTACCGGCAAAGGATTTTTAGCAGATTCAGAAAATAACACGCGCCCACAGCTGGCGGCTTGATGCTGCTTTCAGGCGCCAAAGATCATGCACGCAGACAACCCGCACATAAACAAAGCAAGCAAGCCTAGGTCCCCCAGTGCCCTTTTACCCTTTTTTGGGGGAGGGTTCCACTACTTCAACAGACTACAGACAAAAGTTGGTACCCTTATTCTAACCTCTCCACTGGAGGACCTAGAAGCGCTCTTGCAAGCATGCGCCACTTGTTTCCTTCTACGCCATCAAAATGGAAGCTCTGAAGCCCCAGTTGGAGACACATCTGCGGCATAGGTGCTCCTTTCGGTAAAATCCTTGTGGTAAAATACATGGCGCTGGTCAACGGATATTTCACCAACCAAAACCGGTACCATGTATTTCTCTCTGCGGATGGGGCCCTTCCCTCTCTGCCAGAAGAGCTGAGCTTCACGCTGGAAGATCAGGCGCGATGCGGGAAAGGGCGAGTGACGGCGTGAGGGCGAGCAGGCGCTTGTGAGGCCTTGTGAACCTCAGATAGAAAAGTGGGCCGTGCTGTGGGTCAAGTCCACTTCATGCCAGTTGGCAGGCTTCATCCATTCCAACTGGTGCAAGGTTTTGCGGAATCCGCAGTGCTAGCTTGCAAACACGAAGCAATTCTAACGAGTTGACCTGGGGTAATATGAACACCCTGTCTTGGCGGGTTTCTGGTTCTTGTGGTTGCGAGTGATAGTACTTTGCCCAGACCTATTTCGGGGTTGCACCCGGTGGGCATGGAATGATGTCAGCTCACATCCCCCCATTGCATTCGCCAGCCACGCAGAGCATTCCCAAAGGAATTTCTTCAGGTCCCGGCTCACAAGACGAGGTCCACTTGGTGTTGTGGAAGCTGCCATCCCACGGTTTTTGCAGTCTAGTGTAACCAAGGGAATGACTTTGGGTACACGCACCAAAGCAGGTGAAAGAGGGGCACCATATAAGCAATCATCGTGGCTCAGACAAGTTCCAGATGCATTGTCGCGGTTTGAACATGGTGAGCTTGGGGTTCGATAGCAAACTTTTCTTGCCGCCTTTGCTTAGGATATCCCAGATATTGCCCATTTCCTGCGACGCCTGTCCGGCAGAGTATTGCCGGTTCTCCAAAGATGTTCCACAGCATGCAGACCGCATGTCTAACTTTCTAACACATCAGTTGCATCGCTGGAACACGTGTTGTCAAGGAAAGCAAGCACTCATGACGGAGACACTTTTTTTGTAGGGGCATATTGCCAATTAAAGCCCTCCGTTCGCGAACATCTTTGAATCCTGGCACAACAAGACGAATTTTGTGTGTATCTTGGCACCTTGGGATCGGGAACATGTTGGGCTCTCGCGACTGGTACCTTTCAATTCGATTGCCCCGGCGGCTACAGATTGCAGCAACGCAGTGCGCAGTACGACAGTGCCCCAGACATCCGTGACCCTATTGTGATACGGTCCCTTCTTACAACGAGCGCGCTCAATGGCGGCACTCGTGCCTTATTCGAAGAGAACACACGCGCTATTTGCGCGAATGTCAACCATTCATGGCGAGGTCTCCAATCGTGAGCAAAGCTGCGCGGTTGGGGATCCGTTGTTCAAGGAAGCACATCAGTTGGGTGTCTGTTGTTGGGGGACGCCGCAAAGTTGCGGTTTTCCGTTCGATTTTTCCTTCAAAGCTTCAATCAAAAATACCCATGTGCGCAGAACGAAATCAAACATCCAAGTCTAAGCCCGCGCTCAGTTTCAAAGCTCTTGGCGACCTAAATTGGGCTGTCATACTGTGGATGGACGAAATCCTGCACCACTTGGAAACCATGGGAAACCGTTGTTTGTTGGCATTTACAGGGGAATCATCCTTTCAGGGCTTGTTAGGTGGTGCAGGATTTCGTCCATCCACAGTATGTTTTGGTTATTTGCTGAGAGTCGTTGTTCCAATCTCAAAGCGATCACTTATCTCTATGGGTGTGGCTCAAAATTGGGAGTCTCCAAAATTGGTTTGCCTTTTGGTCTCCCTTTCAAGCCACCCCTTTTGTTCTGGTTGGAACACCAGGTATGTCTGATGTCAAAGGGCCCAAGCAATTGAACTTCATATGGCGCAGAGAAGTTGTCTTAGCTACTACTCTAGGAGTTGAGCACCTGGTAGCACTTTGGGGAAGGGCTCTATTTCCGATGACCACAAAACACACATGTTCTTTTTGTTGGTGCAAAAGCTGAAGGAGAAAGCTTTGAGTACACTCCTGCCTAAAGTGGAACCCATCAGGGGGTCCCTCTTACAGGGAAATGGGAATGGGTCAAAATCAAACCACCAAGGGACCCTAGGTTTTAGTCCATGTTTCCATTTCCAGGGCAAGCCATTTTTGGGGTTACCCTATTTTTGACCCACAGCCAAATAGATCTTCAAGAACCCCTCCGACTGGTTCCATAGGGCACGCTTTTTCCCGCTCGAGAGGAGCTGGCGGCGCTCCCTCCGATGCTGCCAAGACATCCCGCCCTGCCGCCAAATTTGCAAGAGGCTGCCGGTGGAAGTTTTCCCCACAAAGATCCGAGCCCGAAAAAGGGCGGGTTCCCAGACATCCGGTTCAACTTGGGCTTTTTTTGGATCTGTTTAGTTGGTTTCGTGGCTGGGTTTCCCGAAGAAACCCACTAGTTCAACTTTGAGGGGATCTGAGAAAAGGCGCCCAGATGCATGGTTGTCTTTGGGAGCTTTTTTTTTTTAAAAAAAATCATTTTTGCCTATTGTTGTTTAGTGGGAAATCCCCACTTAACTGCTAAAATTTAAATTTTTGCTCCCCTTCCAACGTCAACCAAGTATGGACCTTGCAGTCCACAAAATTTGGGTTGCTTCGAGAGTTCAATGATCAAAAGCGCTGGGTCGGTTGTTCTCTGGCTTGCCACTTGGATGTTCGACAGTTGGCCGAACTGCAAAGTTCGTAAATTCCTTCACCTCCCACCCAACCCCCCCCCCCCCCACCTGCACCCGAGCCCCACTGCCACCCCACCCCCCTTCCCCCTCCGCCGCGACCTTTCGGAGACGGATGGGTTGGTCCGCATGACGGCTGGCGTGAGACGTGAGAGTTTTCCAGGGAGGTTGCGGGTTTCACGCTTTCATTTGCTGAAATGAAGATTTGTTGATTTTCCCCTGGTTTCAACTTGGCAACTGGTTTTAAATTGGGAATTGATTTCACTCCTGGACACATCTGTTCGCCTTTTTGCCAGTGGAACAATTCGGCACATGGAAGACGTTGGCGCATTTTGCTTGGATGTTGGGACTTTAACTTTTCCCAACTAATGGGTTTTCCGTATTAAATCACTATAAAGGTTGAACACTTTTAGCAGGGCTTCGCAGAAAGCAGCCGAGAAGAGGTGGTTCCGACTCAAAAAAAATCCGCCTCCGCCAGGTGTGGCACTGCCTGAAGCCTGGCACCGTCGCCACGGTGCACGCCGCGAGAACCAATCGCCCTTCGGCGCGATTTTGATGACGTGTTTTGGGCGGGGGAGTGGGGCCATAGGTGTCCTTTTTGGTGGTTTTGCTCGAAAACATAGAGGGCGAGTCCTAAAGGGACACCTATGGTTGGGGAGGTGTCAGTTTTCCGGGTGGTTTTCCGATTTTTCCCCTGAGGGAACGTTGATATATATATATATATATATAATTTTTGGTGGTCGGAAGTGTTGGGAGCGATCTTTGGGCCGTGAGATCTGAGCTAAATGACCTGACCATTGGTGCTTGAAAGTGTCCCACCCCCAAACATAGCTTGAGCCCAGAACATAGGCCTTTTCAATTGTTTGACCCAGTCACTTTTCTATTCTGCACCCATCCTTTGCTTCGAGGATCCAAGACCTCTGCATTCCCCTTGCAACACTGTTTTTTGGGGTGGGTGCAACCCATTGAAATCGAATGTACACAAAGGGGGTACCAACTAAAAGGAGTGTCCATTAAAAAAGATCACGCACAGGCTGCCTCGTTTTCTTCCAGGTCTGTGACAATTCTTTGCGCCCTTTTGTTTGCAAATCCCGCCAGAGGATTTCGGGTGAAAAAGAGAGACTGGGTTGGTGAAAGGTCGAGGGCGTTCGATGTTGGGCTAGCAGGAGGATAACTGTGTGTGTGTGTGTGTCTCTGTGTGTGTATGTCTGTATGTGTGTATGTGTGTGTATGTATGTGTGTGTATGTGTGTGTGTGTATGTCTGTATGTCTGTATGTCTGTATGTCTGTATGTCTGTATGTGTGTGTGTGTGTGTGTGTGTCCGTGTCTCCGTGTCTCCGTGTCTCTGTGTCTCTGTGTCTCTGTGTTCGTGTCTCTGTCTCTGTCTCTGTCTCTGTCTGTGTCTGTGTCTGTGTCTGTTTGCGTGTGCGTGTCTTTGTCTCTGAGTGTGTGTTCTTGTGAGTTCGTGCGTGTCCAAGCAAGATAGGTATGCTTCTTGTTGGGTGGATTTTTGCCAGTTCGCCGGTCTCATCACATGCTGGGTTGCTCACCGAATTGCCATGTCAGTTGGGTTTTTTTTCCGACCGAGGCTCATTTGCACCTCTGGGAGGAGCAATGTCTGCAAGGGGCCCTGATCGCCATGGACATACCTGGGGCTCATCTGAATGGCTGAGCAGGCGCTTTAGAATGGGCCCGCGCCGTGTCGCCTTTTTTGTGTAATTCAGTATGGTAACAATGTTAGTAAATAATATGTATATCGATCGACATAAGTGTAAACACACAATTACATGGGCACGTTACTATTACTAGTACACATGTTGCTGAATTACATCCAGATAATACATTATGGGATTCACGTAATATTCCTCTTATGATCATACATTGGCGGTTTTCACTGGGATCCAGCACGACTAGGTTCCCTGAACCATCTAGCTGGTTTCCTGAAGACGATATCCAGATTCTCGGGAGCCCCGGAATTGATGCCTTGAGAGCCAGTTGGTTGGTGTGTTTTTTGGCAGACACTGCTCATAGCTCAACCCATACGACCTCACGCCGCGAGACCAGCTGGAATTTCGATTCAGCACTCAAGAAAAGATCGCCCTATAGAGGGCCGCTTTTTCCCAGCGGGGTTTCTTAAAAAGGGCCCGCCTTGTTTTTAATGGTGGGATATGCATCTTGTGTCCCAAGGACGCACCTATTCTAGGTCTCCTTACAATCTGTTGGCAAATTTCCGACATCAGGGAGCGGTTGACATCATGCCCCTGGGTGATGTTTGGCGCAAGCCCTCGTGCTCGCACACTGGGATTGGTTGACAGTGACTGCCAAAGAATGTCAACATGGGAAATCTAGGGAACCTACAAATCGGCATGCCTTCAAGAGGAAGCGCAGATCGGCCCCTTTGATTCTTTATACTTGGGAAGCATCCCTACGCTCTGGCGCGCAGCCAAACATGGCAGCTAGTTGGTTTTACAGGCTTTTCTACAGTTGTTTCCCAATTCTGTTGTCATAGCCTGAGTCACGAGCATCTAGAGACTGACTGGTCTTCCAGTCAGTTTCCCACCAGGAGTTGAAAGGTGAAACATGGTGAGTCTAAAAATGGTTTAAACTTCCCACAAGCAACTCCTTACACGCCTCCAAACCAAACTCGTGTGGATTTTCGACTGACTGGTCTCACAGTCAGGCACGGCCAGGAGTTGAATATGGCTTAAGCTTCCCACAAGGCAACCCTTTTCGCTAGGGTGCGGCCACCCATTGGAAGAAAAACATGTTTAAACAATTTTGCCCCACCAAACAAACCCAGATTTCAGCTTTTCACCCCAAACCCAGATTTTGCCCAGCTTTTCACCCCAAACCCAGATTTTGCCCAGCTTTTCACCCCACACCCAGATTTTGCCCAGCTTTTCACCCCCAGCCCAGATTTTGCTCAGCTTTTAACCCCAAACCCAGATTTTGCCCAGCTTTTCACCCCCAGCCCCCCAGCCCAGATTTTGCCATGCTTTTAACCCCACCCAGATTTTGCCCAGCTTCTCACCCCAAACCCAGATTTTGCCCAGCTTTTCACCCCAAACCCAGATTTTGCCCAGCTTTTCACCCAGCCCAGATTTTGCTCAGCTTTTAACCCCAAACCCATTTTGCCCAGCTTTTCACCCCCAGCCCAGATTTTGCCCAGCTTTTCACCCCCAGCCCAGATTTTGCCCAGCTTTTCACCCCCAGCCCAGATTTTGCCATGCTTTTAAAACCCAGATTTTGCCCAGCTTTTCACCCCGCTTTTCACCCCAAACCCAGATTTTGCACCCCAAACCACCCATCCAACCCGAAAAGTCGCGGGAATTTTGCTCCGCAGGCTGCCAGATCGGAAGTGGCACCTGCGGCAAGCCTCCCTCAGCGCCAGCCTCCTCACCTCCAGCTCCTCGCTTCGGATGGCAACTTCCGGTGTCAAAGACGGGGTGGTGTTTCTTGTGTGTGCGTGATGTTTTTTTTTTTTGGGGGGGGGGTTGGGGTTGGGAGGGGGTTCCCCACTTTGGTTGAAATATGATTCTTCTAAATGGTTATTGCCTTACATTGTAATGCCTCTTTACGTGTAGTGTGATTGCCTGTTCCTAGTTATTTTTTCGTGTCTATCCTTCAGGAACAACCGGATAGACGAAGGGTGGAAAACCAAAGGAGCGCCACAAAAAGACGCACCCGGATTGGGGTGGTTTGTTTCCTGGCCCCGAGCAGATTTCTTGAAGACGCTGGTCTTTGACGAACTTATATTAGCTTTGATTTGCCTAAGACTTTTTTTTCTTCTCCTGTTCGTTTCAAAGGGAACGTATCACCAATGGACATATGTCCATTTTTTCCCTGGGGACTTACATGGATGTTCATGAGGGGAAGGAATTTTGTTCAGACGATACGGCTAGAGGAATTCCAGGTCCAAGAGCGCGATTTGGGGGTGCAACAGTTCAAGAAGAGACCCTGGGGTTCAGTTTCCACCAAAAAAGGGTTATACCTTTCAGGATTTGAGACCAACCAAAAGGAACCATTTTGGGTTTATAGGGCACAGGAAGCCAACCGATTTTTTAGATACATCCTGTGCCCTATTAGATCCACCCAACTGTGGCAAAGTTTCCACAGGGCCACAGGGGTCCCTCTATTTCCCCTCTTTGGACCTCCAAAAGTTGCCCTTTTTTTTTTGGAACCCAACAAGCTGCAACTTTTGATGTGGGGGAATCCAGCCACCCCTGTAAGTGGTTGCTGGACAACCCCCCAATGTGCACAGGCTTTGCCATGAAATTTTAGACACAGTTCACGTGGAAAGCACAGAGAGGGAGAGGGCTCCTTCCTTGGTCACATAAAAACTAGGCAAGACAATTTTGATAGACCAGAGGCGTTTTAGACTAGGTCCTCCAGTAGTGCCCTTTTATCCTTTTTGGGGGAGGGTTCCCCTACTAAAATAGACTGCAGAAAAAAGGGTACCCTTATTCTAACCTCTCTACTGAAAAACCTAGACTAAGTGGGTAGCAACGGTTGCAACCCACTTACATGTCCCCTATGAGTTAGCTATGTGATTAGTCACCCTGGTTGTAACCCACCAAAGCCATGGTTGGAAGTCGCCTCAGTGTTACTCCAGAAGAGAACCTCAAACCACCCTCTGCCTTTTGATCTCCCTCTCCCGTGAGATAGCAGGGATTGAGCATCTCTCCCTCTCCTCTATCGCTAGAATCTCCCAGGGGGAGATCAAAAGGCAGGGATCGAGCCCCTACAAATACACAAAAGCTTAACGCGTCAGAGCCAGCCGCTTGCGAGTCCCAACCGCTGCTCGCTCGCTGCCGGGCTCGGCTCCGAGGACGGCAGGTGGTCACGCTGGAGGAGTTGGGTGGAGGAGAGGGGCGAGAAGGGGCCAGGGGCCGGGGGAGGGAGCCGGGCTCGCGCGCGTGCGTTCTCTTTGCTTCTTCTGAGAATACATATATTAATATATATATATAATATGTGTATATATATATATATTCTGTATATATACTTGCATACCCGCTCACCTGCCTGCCTACCTACCTACCTCCATCCATCCATCCATCCATCCATCCATCCATCCATCCATCCATCCATCCATCCATCCATCCATCCATCCATCCATCCATCCATCCATCCATCCATCCATCCATCCATCCATCCATCCATCCATCCATCCATCCATCCATCCATCCATCCGTAGATACATACATACATACATACATACATACATACATACATACATACATACATACATACATACAGACATACAGACATACAGACATACAGACATACAGACATACAGACATACAGACATACAGACATACAGACATACAGACATACAAACATGCAGACATGCATACATACATACATACATACATACATACATACATACATACATACATACATGCGCATGCATGCATGCATGCATGCATGCATGCATGCATACAGACAGACATACATACATACATACATACAGACACACACGCATGCGTGCATACATGCATACACACATTGCATTACATTGCATTGCATTGCATTGCATTGCATTGCATTGCATTGCAGTGCATTGCATTGATCGCACCACATTACATCACATACACCACATGACATCAAAGTACATTACGTTACATCACATCACACCGCTTTACATGAAATGAAATGACATGACAGGACATGACATTACTTGACATTACATACATCCAAACATACATACATAAATGCATGCATGCATGTATATATATATATATATATTTAAGGGCTGCCGCCCAGTGCCGCCGACCCCTTCAATTAAATGAACGAATTCTTGATTCTCCGGTGCGGCGTTCGCGAGCGAGAATCGGGAATGCGCCAATCCATTTTTTCCTGTGGGGGGGACCTTTTCAGCTGGATGGGCACATTCTTGATTCTCCGGTGCGGCGTTCGCGAGCGAGAATCGGGAATGCGCCAATCCACTTCTTCTTTTTTTTCTTGGGGGGGGGGGGAGACCCCCTCAGTTGGATGGGCGCATTCTTGATTCTCCGGTGCGGCGTTCGCGAGCGAGAATCGGGAATGCGCCAATCCACTCTTTTTTTTTCCTGTGGGGGGGGGGACCCTTTCAGCTGGATGGGCGCATTCTTGATTCTCCGGTGCGGCGTTCGCGAGCGAGAATCGGGAATGCGCCAATCCACTTCTTTGTTTTTCTTTGGGGGGGGGAGACCCCCTCAGTTGGATGGCGCCAATCCACCTTCTTTGTTCTTTTCTTGGGGGGGGGGGTGGCCCCCTCAGTTGGATGGCGCCAATCCACTTTTTGTTTCTGTGGGGGGGGGGGGGAGACCCCTTCAGCTGGATGGGCGCATTCTTGATTCTCCGGTGCGGCGTTCGCGAGCGAGAATCGGGAATGCGCCAATCCACTTCTGTTTTTTTTTCTTGGGGGGGGGGGGACCCTTTCAGCTGGATGGGCGCATTCTTGATTCTCCGGTGCGGCGTTCGCGAGCGAGAATCGGGAATGCGCCAATCCATTCTTTGTTTTTTCTTGGGGGCGCGGGAGGAGATCCCCTCCGTTGGATGGCGCCAATCCACTTTTGGTTTCTGTGGGGGGGGGGGGACGACCCCTTCAGCTGGATGGGCGCATTCTTGATTCTCCGGTGCGGCGTTCGCGAGCGAGAATCGGGAATGCGCCAATCCACTTCTTTTTTTTTTTTTCTTGGGGGGGGGGGACCCTTTCAGCTGGATGGGCGCATTCTTGATTCTCCGGTGCGGCGTTCGCGAGCGAGAACCGGGAATGCGCCAATCCACTTCTTTGTTTTTTCTTGGGGGGGGGGAGACCCCCTCAGTTGGATGGCGCCAATCCACTTTTTGTTTCTGTGGGGGGGGGGGGAGACCCCTTCAGCTGGATGGGCGCATTCTTGATTCTCCGGTGCGGCGTTCGCGAGCGAGAATCGGGAATGCGCCAATCCACTTCTTCTTTTTTTTCTTGGGGGGGGGGGGAGACCCCCTCAGTTGGATGGGCGCATTCTTGATTCTCCGGTGCGGCGTTCGCGAGCGAGAATCGGGAATGCGCCAATCCACTTCTTTTTTTTTTCTGTGGGGGGGGGTGTGTTGTTTTCGCACAGATTGATCTCCCGCAACATTTGGCTCAAGGCCCCTTTTGCATAATCACGACCATTCGAGCGTGAGGACAAAAGAGCCATTGCAGGCCGCTTACAGGATTATCCATCAGACAATCCACCAGGGACAATCCATCCTCCAATCATCCATTGTAGGCATACTGGGCTCTCTCCGGAATAGATTCAGGGACCAACAACGACCTCAACTACCACAGGGTTCCAGTTCCCTCCGGGGATAGGCACCTGGGGCAGTGGGCCTCAATTTGTGGTAGCGGAGCGGGTTTTCCGCAGAGATCCAAGGGAAGATGTCATCAGATGGAGAAGGTTTCATGGAAGCCTACACAAGTTCGGCAAAGCCGAGCTACACGGAGGACACACTTAATTTATCGATGACCGCCAAGCAGCCGCCATCGTACGACGGAAAAGTCAGCTGGTTCAGGTATGAAGAACTCGTGGACGACTGGGTGACAATCACCACAGTAGAAGCAGCCAAGCGAGGTCCATTGCTTAAGAGCAGACTCACTGGAGATGCTTACATGTACAAGGCCGTCCTCCAAAATGACCTTTTGCAAGATCCTGATGAAGGAGTCAACTATTCCAAGAACACGCTGAAGAAGTACTTTTTGAAAGGTGCGACCAACGTGTATCTGTACAGACTCCTCAGTTTCTTCAACCACAGAAGGCAGAACCAAGAGTTCCTCATTTTTACCTCAAAATTCGAGATCCTTCTCATGAGATTGAAGGCAGCATGGATGGACTTGATGCCAATCTTTACGGCACAGTCTCCATCATTCCGACAGTCCGTACAGGACGCAAACGCGAGAACAATTGCTCGACATCAGCAAGCAGCCGGTGCTCGAGCACCGCCACCAGCCCTGCTAAATGAGGACGATCCTACAGTCCTCAGACAATATATCCAAGGAATGCAGGACAGACAGCGGGACGCATTTCCCTTCGGGGATAATCTCATTGCACAGTTTTTCATTATACCAAGTGAGTTGTCAGATCAACAAAGAGAACGACTCACAAGTGCAATGTCATTTAGGAACATCTCACTCGAGAATTATTCCTATGAGATGCAAGAGAGAAACGCTACCATGAACTCTTCATCACTACGAGGACATCGATCCAAGATCCATCCATCCGACCTCAAGGAGGCAGCCGAAGCAACACAGTCTTCATCATCGAACAAGGTGAATACGAAGGAGAAGAAGGCTTCTGGGTTGAGGATGAAGAAGGACTTGAAGGATTCATGTCAAACAACGATGAAGAGACGTTCTGGGTCCTCGAGGAGAACGATGCACGTATCGCGGAAAACAACAACTCCAAAACCTGCAGCACCTCATCCAGCAGAGAACATGTTCGTCGAGGACCTCACATCTATTCCTGAACAAGCACATTGGAACTGTGTACGTAAGGGAAAGATTCAGTCAATGCTGTGCACTGTCAGGTCTTAAGGTTGGGACTCCCGTGGACATCCGCGCAGGATTCGATGTAATGACATCCAAGGGACGACACATGGTCATGGAGATCATCAGGGAACAAGCACCTGATGTCATCCTTATGGCACCAGTCTGCGGACCATGGTCAAATATGCAGAACATCCAGCAAGACCAGCAAAAGGTGGGGGAAAAGCGGAAACGCTACCTTCCCATGGTTGAATTTGTGGCATCCATTGCGCGTTGCCAGTTGAAGCACAGAAGATACTTCATTATCGAAAATCCTCAGACATGCAGGATATGGTATCTGAAATGCACGCAGCAATTGTTTTCAGACCCATCCGTGACCTGGGTGGGGAGATTTCCATTTCTGTGCATACGGACTACAAGATCCTGAATCCGGGCTCAGAAGTCTCAAGCCCACGAGCTTGATGCACTGCTTACCTTCCGAGGTTATGAGACCGATCTTCAGAAGGTGTAAAAACTTTTCCAGCTCAGTAAAGCATGAACACCAACCCCTAGAGGGAAACGCTGGTTCCTTCGGAAGCAGAACCAAACTGGCACAGGTGTATCCTTACCAGTTCTGTCAGGATCTTGCGCACATCATCTTACGACACTTGCAGGTGAAACCGCTTGACAACGAGGTGTACCTCTTGGAGGACCTTTTTGAACCATTCACCATCAAGCAGGTTGATATCCTGAGAAAGGAGATGGAAGCCATTGACAAGGAGTTCAACATGACCAGCAGCAGTCTTGCAGTCAGAATCCAAGACCTGCCGTTCAACAAGGATGTTCAACCATTGGTCATTCAAGATCCGCTAGTTCAGAAATTCCAGAAGACGATGAAGCAGTACCCACCTGGGACTGAAATTGATATCTTCAAGCAAGATCCTAATGACTGGCGATGTCAGAGCATGTGGAACGGCTGCAAGAAGTTGAGGCAACTGTGCATCTCATCCACGCAGTATGATGCATGCACTGCATACGTCCACACCACTGGCATCAATATGCCTATTACGTCACCTCCGGACGATGCACTCATATCCTTCTGGCAGCCTGATCAGCTGAATAGAATTTGGGTCTTGCCTGCATCAAAATGCAATTGGGAGAAGTATGATCCGAAGACGTGGCATGCTGTGATGTTTTCATCCGTTCATGAGTCGTTCACCGATGCGCCGGCCATCAGGCCGATGCCCATCGAGACGGACCCATGGGGTCCCACGGATGCGCCTCAGCAACCTGACACACAGCCACCACCTGATCAACCGGACCATCCCATGCCTGATCCAAGACCTCCAACACCTCCGGACGAGAGCATGTCAGATCCTCCTCCGGATCCTCCACATCA